CGTCTTCTTCATTTTCCCTTCATGTAGCCAAAGAAACGTTTGTTGCCATTTTTAGTGTCCTTTATAAATCTCAGGTTATTCTGTGTCTTCATCTTCATGACACCATTTTTATAGTATGGACAATTCTACTGTACTCTTCCTTCTCGCTTCCTTCCACCTCCTCTACATGTTTTTAGTTTTCGGATCACAAGAGAACTCCCTATGCAGTCACACAGGCATATTTAAATACTGTATTACCATTTTCCCCTTTTAATGCGAATAGTGTGTGGATGTGTTTTTTCATTTTTCATTATTTAGGATATCTGATTGCTCCTAAATTGTTTTTGCCTTCAATATATAAGCCGTGGGATTCTACCCAACTTTTAAAAATGGGCTTATCTAAAATCTAAGACACAGTATAAGTCTGACAAAGCTCAGAAAAGCCCTAGAGTCCTCACTCCCATAAATTAAGGAATTATATGGCCAGTTTCTCTCAAGGTTCCCTCCACTTTTATCTTATTTACCGGTACCTGTTCTCCGTGTTGGTCAAGACTAAGTTCAGAAGAGCAGAGCACTCTGTTCCTTCTTCCTTCTTTCGAGCGATTAACATGTCAGCAAGAAAAGTAAAAAATAACTTGGATAGTCTATTTTGAACAGAATCAGGCTTTCAACGGATGACAGGAAAATTGAAATCACCCACTGCTGCTGTACCTCAGATTTTGCCATCTTTCTCAAGAGAGCACCATTCCTGTCATTCTGTTGGTTTGGCTATCCAATTATACCACAACAATAATGTACACATTGCTTCTTCTGCCATCTTTACCTTATGGTTCCAACAGGGCTTCCAGAGGTTACCTGCTCATTAGAGCATGGGGGCAAAGCCCTGCCCATGTCTGCCCACATGCCCTGCCCTAACACTGGGAGCTCCCAGCTTGACTCCCAAACAAAAACATTCAGTTGCTTTCCCACTACTCACAGCTGCTTCCTATTCTCCTATAGCTCTGCTGAGGACAAGTTTGTATCTGCAGAGAAAGGAAGAAAGTGGTTGTTGTGGGTTTTTCGGGCTCTTTCACTGTGTTCTGAAGGTTGCTCTTCCTAACGTTTTGCCAGTTTCTGTGGCCGGCATCTTCAAAGGACATCTGAAGATGCTGGCCACAGAGACTGGCGAAATGTTAGGAAGAACAACCTTCAGAACACAGCCCAAGAGCCCGAAAAGCCCACAACAACCATTAGATCCCAGCCGTGAAAGCCTTCGTGAATACAAAGGAAGAAAGCCTTGCCTACACTCCTCTTTCTTCTGTTCTTCACCCCTAGCAGTTTTAAACACCAGAGAGGACATCAGATGTACCAACCTGTCTGGATGTTTTATGGACATAATCAACATCCCTTCCAGGGATGGATGGGGAAAGAAATGAGCATGTGTGTCTATCTCCAGAGGCACTGTCTCTTTCCGACATGTGGACATATGTTTCCAAGATTGATCAGCTCCATCAGCTTTGTAACAGTTGTTTCCGGTTCCCTGTCACTGAGGTGGATATTAATGATACTGAGCCTATGTTCTTGTCTCCTTTTAATTGCTTTTTAAATTGTTGAAAGAGTAAAAAGAGGAATTGTGTGTGGAACAGAGGGAGAAAGTGAGTGCATGAGAAAGAACCACAAAACTAAGGCATGAAACTGAATTGTTTTAAAGGGATAGGATGCTCAAGGTAGGCAGAGAACTCATTATGAATTTTGTCACCAGCAGATATGCTTTTACATCTGTTTGTTTGGCAGGCTTAACACATAATCAGTTTTTTATATTCATTCTATCTATCTATCTATCTATCTATCTATCTATCTATCTATCTATCTATCTATCTATCTATCTATCTATCTATCTATCTAATTTATACCCCGCCCATCTGGTCTTCCGACCACTCTAGTTGAAATAAACTGAGTGTCAGAATAATAATAATCTTTGTGTGTCATCAAGTCAATTCTGACTAATGGCAATACTTTCCAGGGTTGTTTAGGTAGAGAATACACAGAAATGGTTTACCATTCTTTTCTTCTGGGTGTGTCCTGGGATTGTGCAGCTCATCCACAGCCACACTGGCTGGCTCTTCTCCCAAGAGGCATAGTGGGGAATCAAACTTCCAAGTTCTGGCTCTGCAGTAAAATACCTAAGCCAGTGAGCTATCCAGACAGATGAGTGCCAGAACACACTTGACTAAAAGCAATTAAAGCATAAAATTCATACATCAAGCAAAGGGAGGAATACCTAATAAATCTATTAAGTGAATGCAAAGATGGTCCTACCAACAGAACGGATAAAATTGAGTTATCTAAATATGGTTGGACCACAGCTTCCATCAGCTGTAGCCAGCACGGGCAATGTAAAGAATGATGAACATTGGAGCCTAGCAAATTTTGGAGGGCCATAGTATGCCTTCTCCTGCAAAAAAAAGTCTCATAAAACATGCTCCTCTTCAGTACACTCAATTAACAGCAAAAGCTGTGGAGTTGTGTTGGAGTGAGTATGAATCCAGACCAGGTGCTCTTCAAAGAAAATGTGTAACGTGTATTATCTACCACACTTGAGGTGTAGATCATCTCTTTGTGCAAGCCCTAGAGTTAAGGGTGAGTAGCGTGAAGTGCCACATAGGCTCACGACACTAAATTATTTAGAGTGGTAAGAACAAAATAATGGAAAACTTAAATGTAAACAAATGAAAAATGATATATATTGGAGCAAAAAAATTAAAATAAAATAACATTCCAATCTCACATACATACTGTTGGAATGTGAACTGGCAGCAAAAAAATCAGTCTTGGGACTATGCTAGGCAGCTTGATGATGTTAACACATTCAGTGGCTGTTATTTAAAAAGCCAAGGGTTTTGCTGGGCATAATTAGAAGAGAAATCAGTAAATTGGCCAGCACAATAGACAACCCTTATACTGTATAAATCTATAGTCCCACTCCGCATTTAGACTATTGGCATACACATCAAAATGTCAGGCGGAAGAGCATGCAGAAAAGGGAATCAAAATGATGGACTGGAGCAACTTACCTATGACAAAGAGGAGCGGTAAAGGGAATAAGGGGAGACGTGGAAGAAATGTGTAGAATGATACCGGCTCCTGAGGCCTTCTGGGTTGTTCCTCCCAGACTCTTCCATTCATCTCCCAGATTTACCTCCAGGTGTTGGTTGTCTCTACATTGCTCCAGTTGCCTGACATGCCTGTAGGCCCTCAAAAGCCAGGGACATCTGTCTTGTAATCTTGAAGTGGATGTATCATTATTGACAGAGATGTTCATTTGGTACTTAGGGGTAATTGAGGGCTCATTAATTTAGACATCCGTATGTTATAAAGTTGCAACGGCTTGTGTTAGCTTTTGAGTAGAAGCAACAACAAATGGCTGGGAGCATTCAATGAAACCACAGAGGATAAGATTTTTATCTTTGCTCATTTATACGAGACTTGGTTGCTGCAGTGAGCCTGAGATTATTTTATTTTATGACATTTTGTTTTGTTTTATTACATTTCGCTTTATTTTATTTTAGTTCTGATTTTTAGTCTGGTGCCCTTGTATTTGGCTCCTTGCTCTAAAGAAATGCTTTAAGGCTATTGTGTAGATAATCCTCTCTCTATATTTTTTAAGATTAACAATCTGGAGGTCAGTTTCTCAGTCTGTGTTTCCTGTGCACTGCTATAGATCTTTAAAACCCTGCTTTTTTGGTGAAGATTGTTCTTCTCCACCACCACCAAGCTTTTCAGGCATATTGGTCTTTTCCGTGGGGTAGGTTTCGACCTTACTTTGCCTACTGTGGCCCTATGGCTCCATCTATCATTAACTGCCTTGTCCTCTGCTCTCTCATCCCAAGTGGGCACCAATAACTAAGTACCTCCATTTTCCTAATCAAGAATTACACACACATTATTGAAGTACAATGCTTATAACGCCACTTCATTTCCTGTTGGGTCTATTACTTGTGAACAGTGTGTTCCACTGATGAGTCTTGTTCCATCAAGTCTTACCTACCACCTCATTTCAGGGCTTCAAGCACAACCTGTTTGTTTCCCATGCTCTTTGTATTAGCATTTAGCCATTGGTGTTGCATGTTTCCATGATGAATTCATCTACAAATCACTAGACTCCAATTCCTCAGTCTCACCTCCTCCTTTCTCATTCACACATTTGTCTGCAATGACTTTTTACACTCATCTGGAGTTACTTTAAAGCCCTCTTGATCATGTCTGTAGGGTTCCTGCCAGAAATGTTCTTAGTCTCTATCATTCTCAAAGAGTTCATCAAATTGTTATCTCTGGCTCTGGTCCATAGAAGCAGTAGAAGAAATTGGAAATATTTCTTATTTTGTGCAAGACCACAACTTGGACTCTCATGGAACTGTCATCACAAAGGAAGACTGCAGAATGTAAGAGGCCCTGCAAAACCTCGCCGGTCAGAGATATGCAATGGTTTCGTGATATGGCTGGCTCAGGAAATGACCAATCACTCCCAGAAATCGATGAAAGATTATTTTTATCAGCTTGTGAATGTATTGTTGAGAAACAGGTATTGGAAGTAGAAAAATGTGTAAGTGACTTTGTGTTCCCAACCCAACTGGATATAACTGGGGTTCCCATGGGTCACCATTTTGTATTGTCTTTGCATTTTCACTGTTTGGATTCATCACTAAAATGCTGTCTTCCAAGGAGATAAGTTTTATTACAGCAAACAACATATATGGAAGAGAAACAAGATGGGGTCTACCTCCCATTGGCCACATGGCTATGAGAGAGAAGACAAGATGTATGGGAAGAAGAAATGAAGACAAGCCTGAGTGAGAACAAGCCATTGGCGTGGAAGCACAGAGTGGACAATAAAAAAAGAACACAAGAGAGAATTTTAGCTATCTGTTTCTCTCGCTATTGCCCTTCATGGGTCACTTGTGCAAACTGCACATTTCACCAATTTCAAAAATATAAACAATCTGTTTTCTTATGCCACTTATGCCAACATCTTCTTTTGACAGCTATTCTGCTCCAACAGAGAGATCTGGGCTCAGATCCTTGAGTTGGTGGAAGGAGTCAGGTCTGCTTGCGCACAACATCTCCACCAGGGGGTGAGTTTCCAGCCTATTCTAGTCCCACACATAAACATATAGGCAGGTAGAGAGCAACGCAACCAAAACAAAATAATGCAAGAGGAAAGGATGTAGGGAAAGTAGAAAAAGAATAGAGTCACAGGGTCACACTGTGCCTGGCTTTTAGTTTTCTCCTGAAAGAATGGAGAGGGAAGTGTTTCCTTACAGAACCGTTGACCCTGTTGTAATTCTTCCACAAACTGTTCAGTTGCTTCTGGCAAGGATCTTCTTTTCTGGTCTTGCTTTTTACTCTTCATTGCATTCCTCTGACCACCTTCTATCTCTCTCTCAGCTTTCCTGTGCACCTTCACATGAGATTCCATTGGTAACTTCAGCATTAACTGTTTCATGACAGAGACATCACCTCTAATCTATCTAGACAATAGATTTTAGTTTGATTGTTGGCTCAGTCAATAAATATAAATCATGAGTTTATTTGTTCCTACATGTGAACAAGAAATAACCCTTTCCCCCTCCTCCCTGCAAGATGATAAATGTTTTACTCAGTCTGAGAGAGAATTTGGGGGAGGGGTTGGTATATTTTTGGACGTGTGCAAAAATTAAGCCTACCCCTGCCTTGTTGCATGGATGATTAAAAATGAAAAATAAAAATTATTGGGTTGCTTGCATGTTTGTGAGCAGTCATCCTGCCCTTTTGCGCTTGAACTTTGTGTACATTGGTTTACAAAGGGAAATGGCATGGCATGATGAAAATGACACACTAGCAAGGATTCTTCACATCTGTAACTAAACTACAGACGTAGCTTCTTCAGATACAACTGGGCCCTCTCAACATGGATTAAACAGCAATGTCCACGTTCAAAAGTTCTAAAACTAAAATTAGAATTATAATCCCTATTCCATAATGATATATTTGAGCTATAGCATATTTTAAAAATAAAACTATCCCCATACAGGCTTTTAAAAACAAAAACAAAAAAACATTCTAACAATCAGAATAAGCAAAATCTAACATACCGTAAATTTAAAAATGTCTGGTCATTGGATTTTTAAAAATGTGACCATTCTAAAGCCATTGTGGTGTTTTACCTCATCACAGATGAACTTCAACAAACCCCACCCATGTTCATCAAACTGGACAATTGCAACTAGTGATAACTGGGAAAGATGGGATCATGGTGAAAACTACAAAATATACAGCCAGAATGGAAAAAAGGCACTTGCTATCACAGTGCAGTCTATGGACCATGTGGTGGTCAATTCTTAGTAGGCCTGGAGTTAGTCAGGGCCTTGCTTTGTTCGAGAGAAAGGTGGAATGGTTCTGTCAACATTTATGTGGATTATACTGTTTTGCCTGGAGAGATGAAGTGGGTTGGCACCTATTCTAGGTATACCAAAAGGGAAAGGAATGAAGAATGAACATTTGTGTGCTCTATAATAAAAAAGGGAGGTAATAGCTTGATATGTGATGAGAACTAGAATTTATTTCCACCATTCCATTCTCATACAGAAAATCCCTCGAACAGCATGCCTCTTGCAGGAACCCCACCTCCCCACAAGAAGAGAAAGCCTACTAAACTCATTTTAGAACTAACCCAAGAAGGTAAGATATATGCATGCATGTATGCACATAAGACACATACTCCTCTCCTAACATTTCCTTCTCAGGATATCTGGTCTTTTTAAAGCCATCTCCATGATGAAGGACAGCCAGCCTGACAACCTCTCCTATACGATAAATCTACAGATGCTAACAAAGCACAGAGATAGTGTAGGAAGACATTAGTCAGGCTATGGCCGCTATAGAAACACGTCAGGTTCTTATTGTCCAGTATTTCCAGAAAGCTGGTAACCAAAGGGCCAAACTGCATGTTATAATCTGTCACATGTAGTTAGTCCATTTTCCAGAATGCAGCTACAAAGGCTGAAATCTAAAGCAGAAGACAGCTGTGCATAGATGGGGGTGGTGTTGGGGTGAAAGGGGTTTCTGAGTCCTTTTTTCCTCAGTCTCAATTCTCACCATCAAAATGTTTGTGTGTGTGCGCGTTTCACGTTGATTCTGACTTAATGGCAACACTTTCCTGGTAGAAGAGACTCAGAAGTGGTTTACCATTTCCTTAAAAATCCCAACTTCTCAGTCTACAAGCCAGATACAGTGGACCCTTGACTTACAGACGGCTCGACTTAAAGACTTTTTGAATTACAGACTTCTCTGGCCACAAAATTTAGGTTCGACTTGCAGCCGGAGAATCGACCTACAGACCAGAAAAAAACCAAAATGGAACAAAAATTGAACAAAAATGGCCGGTTACGGGATTAATCGGTTTTCAATACATTGTAGGTCAATGGAGACTTGACCTACAGACTTTTCGACCTGCAGCCACTGTTCCAATACGGATTAATTCCGTAAGTAGAGGGTCCACTGTACTTGACCCACACTGAACCACCCAGTAAGCTCCACCATAATATGCATGCCCTCATCTCGTTCTCTCTGGCGTTAATTGTTTGATTTCCAGCAGGCCTACAGGAGCAAAGTATATTATTGCAGATTTACACCGAGAAAGGAAAGATGTAAAAATAGTACTTCAATCATTTTGTTTTGCCAATTTTGTTTTGGACAGAAAATGTGGCTATGTTCTGAGCCTCTGATTCTTTCACTTGTTGCTCGTAGATGTAGGATTTTCCTTGTAAAAGCAACCTGCAGAAGCCACTCTTAAAGCCCTGATTCTGAGTAGGGAATGAATGGTCAGAACTCAGAATGTTACAGTTTAAAAGGAACTTAATGCATTATTCATTACTTTTCACCCGGCACAATGCCATTTGTGTTATTATTGCCCAGGCCCCACAAGGAATTCTTTGTGTTGCATATTATCAATGCTTTGTCTAAAAGACAGTGGCTTGTATTGTTACCAATAGGAAATACTGTCTTGTTCCCTCTAGTGGCCACCTCTGATATTACTATGTTTCACCAAAAATAAGACAGGATCTTATATTAATTTTTGCTCCAAAAAACATATTAGGGCTTATTTTCAGGTTAGGTCTTTTTTGGGGGGGGGAAGGGTATATGTGACAAATATTTATATATAGAAATAGAGAAGATAAAACCAAAGAATACTTTCCTTCCTGCTTAAGACTGATATAACAGAATGGCAAAACCTCTGAAAACTCCTGTCAAAATGCTTCTGAAATGTCCTTTAAAAGTAACTTTTGGAAGTAAGTAGATGTTACTTGTTACATTTATGTAACTTATGTATTACTAGTTATATCCAACAAGTAACTTTGTAGCTACTAGTTACATTACCTGTTACCTAAAAACAACTAGTTACAGGTATGTATGTTACTTGTGTCTAGTTACTTCTGTATTCTGCAAATAGATGCATCTTGACTGAAAATACTGCATCAACATTGCTTGGAGCATTGCTGCATGGTGCTTGTACAAACAGCCTATCAGCATAGGATGTGACCTGAACAGCTACTATGAATAATGTTCACTTCAATGCAAATATTTAGTGTTGATGATCTGATTATCTAGTGTATACATCCAGTTCAATACAGCAGGTAGACATGGTCAGGGTACAGATTATTACTCTGTCAAACAAGATACTGAAGACAAAACACATCATCAAGTAAATTAAGCCTGTGAGCTAGCCTGACACACTTGCTGGTGTTACTGCTTCTCCAAAACGGTGCTAATTCTACTGATGGAATCTAAACAATACTGAAAGATTAGGAGAGAACTATTCATTTGCACAGTGCTGGCTATAAAAATTGTATGTCAAGGTGAGCGAAACCCACTAGTGGAGGTATTAAAAACACAAAGCAGCTAAAAGTTGTAAAAAGCATGAATGGTGCCTCAAGGCTAGCCAATTGTAACTCCACATTGTATAGTTAATTCTCCCACTGAGGATAATGTATCCTTGTTGAAGTTTGTTTTTTTTTTTTGCATCCTTGCATGCTGTGGCTGGGAGAGACGTGTCTGGGTTGGGCTGATTGTCAATGTATGCAGCATTGACCAATAGTTCCCTGCTGCCTCTGATTTCAAAGACACTTCCTCCTCTCTGCCCAGAGCTGTTTCCTGCTCCTTTAATCTGTTAGTCTGAGGCCTGTTGCTCAAAGCAGTCATGTTTTAGCTTGCTGTTATCTGTTCACTGTAAGTACATGAAACCCTTTTTTATCCTAATAATGTCTCAGAATGATTAGATTTAAAAGGGGTGGAATTGAAGCTAATTTTGCTCTGTGAATCCCTTAATTTCTGCTGCACAGTCAGAGGAATTTAACAACAACAACAAATCAAAACTGTGCAGCAATCCTCATGACTGATTCCTCTAATTTCTGCTGCACAGCCAGAGGAATTTAACAACAACAACAACAAATCAAAATTGTGCAGCAATCCTCATGACTGATTCCTCTACATGTAGTGTCTTCTTGAGTCTTCTTGACCTTGGCATAAGGTGATTTCTATGGTTGTAATTATACTCCTTTCTAGCTCTCCCTCTCCACATCCTCTTTATGCAACCTTTTGTCCTTTCCCCATCTTTTCTTCTCTCTTTGTGCCATGTCCATTATTCTTATAACTGTGATCCAGACCTAGCCCATCCACCTCCTTTTCTGCTTCCCACTAAATTAATTATTTGGTACCCAATTGTTCTGACTGCTCAGAGTATCTTCCTCTTGGTGTAAGCTGTTCCAGATGGTCCCTTGCTGGTCTATACCTTATCTTGCTTCTTTGTTTTCTGCACTCACACTCCTGCACCAGATCCAGAGCATTTCTCCCCAGTCATCCACAATTAGAAAATAATATACATTTTGGAGGAAAGAACAGTAAAAAAAACACACAATTGTCACCTATTTTTTCTAAGTGCAAGGTGTATGAAGATGACTAAAAACTACTTTTGCTATAGTGGCAACTTTTTGTTTTTCTGGTTCATACTTCAAGTTAAACTTCTTAAACTTCCCATGAGTAGGGTCCAGACAGATCTTTATACTGCTCCAATTTGTCCCCCTATTGATTAATGGCATCCCCTTTCCCGCCCTCTTCCCTGCCTTTTCCTACAGACATCATTCAGCCAACTTTCCTTTTTGTTTTGTTTTGTTAAAGTGACATGGTGAAACAGCAATGCATCTACTTAGCATAGTACACATAATGCTGCCAGTGTATTTCATTTATCTACAATAGCACTACATCAATAGGAAAAATATTTTTAAAAAAATTTAAAACTGCAGAGTAGATTAAAACAAAGGAGAGTGGGTTCTCCATCATGCTTTTCAATGCCACACCCCTTCAAATATGTTACAGGGTTGTCAGCTCAGATAACAACATCCACAAGTATAGCTTAGTGTGAGCTAACCTGTTCTGTAGCCTGAACTACAGAAAAGGACAATTAGGAACCTCCCAATCATGGCAAAAATCTGTAATCCTAGTGCTGTGTCAAAAAAGAGTGGGACTGCTCAAAAAAGAGGTGGGATGGATTGCTTTAAGTCAAAACACGTGTGGATGCTGTAATTTGATTCAAACCAAAAAGCAACAAAAGCGATCCAAATAGTGAACTATATGCTTGTCTGGATGTGCTCATAGTTTGTCATTATAGATGAAGGGATTCTACAGAGGCTATGTTGGTGATTTGTCATATGATAGTTGTGTTCAAGGCTGTAGCTGTTTGGTTGGTTCACTTTAAAAGCCACTTTAGTCTGTCACTAAAGAGCTGTTTAAATTTTAAAGCCCTTAGCAGTCAAGAATCAGTAATATCATTATAAACTGGTAAGGACTTCAAAGTTTAAATAGCTCTTTAGTTTGAGCATAGAAGCAAAATGGTGACAAATATTGTTGTTATGAAATGGGAAGCCTTTTTTCATCTATTATTAATTAACTTTAAAACACCTTCTTTTTTCAAACTGATTTTGAAAGCGCATCTATATAGATACCATAACATTGGTTTGGTCTGATTAAGTAATCAAGACTGGGTCTGCCTTTTTAAAATATAGTCACAGTTGTCTATAGTTGGCTGTATATAACCACTTGCAGTTGAGACACCACAACTTGCTTTAATTGCTTCCATTGGAGGCAAATTCAGTAATAGACAGCCATTGTTCAAACCTATTAGCTTCAAATAAGTATCCTTAAAAGTTATTATAACATTGACTCTTGTAAGGCAAATAAGACTGCACTCTCTCAGAAAAGTCTTCTCCATAATGTTTATTATCCAGGAACAGCAAGTGTTAAGAGCATTCGTAGTAGACCTCAAGCTTTCAAGCACCCTTTCCATGTCCTCAGGCAACACAGCCTGAAAGGAATCCATAACAATGTACTGTATTCGCTAAGGGTTTCACGGCCAGGATCTAATGGTTGTTGTGGGTTTTTCGGGCTCTTTGGCTGTATTCTGAAGGTTGTTCTTCCTAACGTTTCACCAGTCTCTGTGGCCAGCATCTTCAGAGGACAGCACTCTGTGCTCTGGTGTAGTTTGCTTGGGAGTGGAGTATTTATGGCTGTGACAATACACCCACAACAAGACACACTAATCACCCATCTCCTGAAAAAGGACAAAAGCCTGTCTCACAGCCATAAATACTCCACTCCCAAGCAAACCACACCAGAGCACAGAGTGCTGTCCTCTGAAGATGCCAGCCACAGAGACTGGTGAAACATTAGGAAGAACAACCTTCAGAACACGGCCAAAGAGCCCAAAAAACCCACAACAACCATTGAATCCATAACAACCTGATCAGGCAGTTTTACTGCTATGGAGCCCAGGTCACTGGAGTCAAGATGTTTTATCTGTAGAACATATCAAAGTGCAATCACATCAGGCTACTTTTGGCTCAATCAGCTGCTGTTGTGGGCCAGACTGCAGGAAGTCCTTCACCAGTCAGAAAAGGTCAGTTAGGTGGCATTTTTGCCCCAACCCCATATTTCACCAAGATCAAAGCAATTTGGTGTCAAATCGAGGTGTCTTCATTCAAAGAAGGCAAGAGAGAGAATTCCTCCAGCACGTGCTGATTATTCTTGTAAATTCCTACTCACCCTCAAACACGCACACACAGCATTTTAATTCCTCCTCCTCATTAAATGATTACGCATATACATTTCGCTCCAGACAAAGCAAATTCCAGCAGTTATGTTCTGTGGGGAAAGCTTCTTGAACTCTTTTGGTTGCTTTAGTATTGAAGAATGGAAGAACTGAATTAAGAAATGGATATTTTTCCCCTGTATTTGTAACTTAACTTTTACTGCAAACTTTCAGCCATGCCACAAGAAGGGTCGAAGCTGAACCTGGGCAAGAAGATCAGCGTGCCCAGGGATGTGATGCTGGAAGAACTCTCTCTACTTACCAACAGGGGATCCAAGATGTTCAAACTTCGCCAGCTGAGGGTGGAGAAGTTCATATACGAGAACAACCCAGATGTTTTCATCGACAGTTCTGTGGTAGGTATGGCAAGTGTAGAAATAGACTGGATAGATATCATATGCCTGGTCTGAATCCAGGGAACAAGGGTTGGGTAGATGGCTATGTGAAGTCTCTCTTATAAAGAAAATGCATAGCCAGAGAGCTATTGATTAATGCACTGAGAAAGGGCAATATGGCTTTAATGAATACACATACGCACCACATTTTTTTGGTATTTCTTTTGTTTGGAGCTATTTCAAGGGGTGCTTCTTTTGTTTTTGTATTTTTTGTACACCAGTCCTTTCATTTTATGTGAAAGGGAAATACACTTTCAGGTTCTTTTGTTTCGGGTTTCCCATTCGTATTTTATCACTTCAAAAGCCTAAAGAACTCTTTAAAACTACTCCAAAAAGCAGGAGGCAGGCAAAAGGGAAACAATCTACTTCAAAACTGGCAACTGAATTTCAGAAATAAAAATAACCAACCCCCCATATACATCTTTAACAGAATAAATAAATACACAGTGAATTAACTGAATATTTTTTTTAAAAAAAATCGATCAGACAGAGGGGGACAGCAGAAGAAAATACACACACAAAGTCCCCTCTCTCAAAAACCAAGAAAACCAAGCAGGTAAATAAAGGCAAAATATACAATGAAAGTACCCCAAAACAACATGACAAAAATATGAGGAGATTTCTTCTTCTACACACTACCATTTGATGCCTTCTCTTCTCTTCATTAAGTCCCGCAGCAGGCAGTAGCTGGCAGGCTAGGCCCAGGCTGCAGCAAAAATAATCCAACAGCAGAACTCAGGACATTAATCCCACAAGGAACTATTCCACAATAGTGCTCCTCACTGGTTTCCATGTCCTTCTACAGATATTCTTAACTCTCTTGTTCTCCTGGACATGTTTGGCTGCTGATAACCTTCGTTGGGCATACCACCATGCCTTTGCAATAGCCGTCACAACACTATTGGATGAAAAACGTACCAGACAATTTGACATTCAAATGGTGAAAGAAAGGTTACCATGCCTTTATAATGCTATTGGATGAAAAAATTATTAGGCAAATTGGTATACAAAGGGTGAAAGAAAGATTCCACACAAAAAAAGGGAACACAAAAGTAACAACTGACATGTATCTCTCTTTAATTAATAAAAATCATTCAGGTTTTAGAGACTTTCTTTGTGTAATCAATGAAAGAACATGAAAACAAATACTGTAAGAGAACTTCTGTGTGTTTCTTTTTTCTGAGAAAAAAAATGGTAAGTTCTGTGTAAGAATACAAAGAGACATACATTTCTACACTTTCCCATGCATCTGAAGGCATTAGATGGAGCAGCAGCATCCTTACATTGCCATTCATCTATCGCTCATGGTGCCAAGCTCTTTTGCTGTTCTAACCTCAGAGCAGGGAGGAAATGGGCTTCCTTTGGCAGCCCATAGATCTTTCTTGTTCAAGAGCAGATGCTGCATCTCTGTGCTATCTACTTGTGTAATTTAAAGACACAAGTCTTACTTTCCTTAGATCTGGCAGGAGATGATACATTCCCATCCTGAAGTTAATGCAGAAACAGACATTCACCACATACATTAGCTGAAATCCTGTTGTGCAATTATGTGAGAGGCATCATTTAGAGGTGAAACTCTATTGCTTAGTTGTGTGATTCCGCATACAACAGACAATGTCTACAGAGATTTCTAAAATCATGGCAATTTACCTGTAACACGTACTGTATGCTTTTTGCATGACTGTGCAAGAAGATTTCAGCCAATGGATACCATCAATACAAAGACCTCAAAACTGATCACAGTACTGAGGACTTGGACAACAACCACCATATGGCCATTCTATATGATGAGATCAATAGTGGCGACACTGTGTTTATCACAGTGATAACGTCCCATACCCATGAACTTGTGGTGTTAAAATGGAACAAGGGCCTTTTGCAGCTCATCTGAAGAACAGAGGCAGAAAAGAAGTCACCAAGCCCTCTCCTTCACAGGCCTAGTGCAGGAAATAGCAAGAAGAACCCGGTTTCAGCCTCTTCTTCAAGTACCTGGAGGTTCTAGAGGCAGCTACTACAGGACCTATTTCCTCATGAGGTGGAAACACAGGAGACTTACAGCACTTTTGTGATACAGTATATGCTTACTCTGGAAAATAAACAACTACGCACAGAAGATCCAGAACTGCACCCCTCATAAAGTTCAAAGCAACATGAAGGATTCAAAAGTGAACAGTACCTGCGCCCTGCCACTGCTCATTCACATCCAACTGTGCATCCTCTTTCACATAGCTGTGAAATTCAGCTTTCCGTTTCCTTGTTAGCTATCTTGTAGTTTTTTTTGTTTTACAGTTACACACTGTAAACATACATGGAGTATGTCTGCCTCCACCCATCTGTGCTCCTTCTGAAAATGTCTTCTAGACATCAGAAGCTACCACATAAACAACTCCAGCTTAACCTGGAAAAATGAGCCTAACATTGCAACCCATTTGTGAGGGATATTAGTTTAAAAAGAAGTGGGCAGTTATAGTAGGGAGCAGCACTTAGGGCTTAGGAACTAGGCCAGATCTAGAAATGTCATATGACGATGGAGGTAGACTCCAACTGACACTCAGTATTGCCTGACCTCTACTCAGAACTTGGAAAAGTTACTTTTTTTATACTACAGCTCCCAGAATCCTCCTGCCAGGCTTTTGCCCCTGCTGAAATAGCAGTGGGAATACTGTATCAACTTTTAGCTATGTGCAGTGGGAATATTAAAGCAGGCCCTCAGCAACTCCACTGCCAGCTTTCACAACAGGAAGCAAGGAGCCTGGTTTCCACTCCACAGTCTGTTGACACTAGGCAGAAGCTGTCAGTGATACTGACGGGTACCACACATGGTCTCCTCTTTTCATCCACAATTGGTTGTACTTAACATTTATTCTGGAATCAGGATTCAGCAGTGGAAGTTACTTTCATCCATAGATGAGAAGGGCTCATGCTGGAATGCTATTAATGTTTGCATAAAAACAAATCCTACCCCACATAATGGGATTTATTTCTAAGTAAACGTGTATTTGATTGAATGATAATGGCTGGAAAATACCATAGCAAATTTTAATTTGATCTTTTACAAGTTTACAAGCCATTGTATGAATTCATCCCTATGTAATTTGCCACAAAATTTAAAAAAAGAAAAAGATGCCCTGCCATCAATGTCTCCCTAGGACACATGCATCACTGCCTCTTTGGTCTGAGGCGAACAGAGTCACTACAAAACAACAAACAAACAAACGAATCCCTGCTAGCTGAGCAAAAGAGCTTTATAGAAAAACTTTCACAACTTATTGATTCAATGGGCCTACTTTTATTGCAACTTAATACGACATTTCAGTCACTGGAAACAACTGGCTATCATCAGTAGTGTCACAGAAGCTAGTCATAAGATATCCATGATACGTCAGCAAACATTCAATTTTCACTGCTGGTCATTTTATTCATTATTTTATTAATGTCTTCCTTCCCCCATCAAATAAAAGATACTTCTTGAAGAGTCCTGAGGTAGCTGAGGAGAGTGACTGTAACTCCAGACATGTTGTTAATAACATAGACAGTAAGCATTTTGGGAAGTTCTTCATCAGGGAGGTGGAAATAGAAACACACATGGTGGACTCAATCATTCCCTTTTGGACACACCAAAAGGAGATCAAGAAGGCATCCTCTCAGCTCAGAAGCACCCCTCGCTGCCTCAGTGACGTCAGGGCCTTGAGATGCCTCTCTGTTCCATCTGCCCAAGGCGGATCAGTTTACATCGCCTTTCTCTTGAAGACATGCTGGAACTGAAAAGGGGCAGGGTGCCTTGGGGCATCAGGAAATTTGCTGCTATTGGCTGTTCCACATGGAGGTGCTGAAGTGCATATAAATTTACTTCTCACTGAAACAAAATGCTTATCCTGCCCTGGAGTGGACGGTGTTCTTTAGCCAGGCTATTTGGTGGTTAATCCATGCTGGTGTAGAGCAAAGATGAAGTGGAACACCTTGGATTTCAGCCTACAATGTAGAAGACATAGAGCTCCTCTGTCTGGGCGGGGTTGTTTCTGCCTCATGGGTGGAAGTGTTCTGGGGATGGATAATACTAACAAGAACAACAAAAATGCTTGCATTGTAAAATGCACTTGGTTTATGCTTGCACCCGCTAGGGTCTGTTTTTTGTTTCGGTATGCATTTAATCTTGTGTTCCGCTACAATGAATACAGTTCTCCCAAGTGTTCAGAGTCGTCATTAGTACCTAAAAAACAGAACAAACAAACAAACAGAAAAAACAATCAGTCTCATCACTTGGATTGTCCACACTGGACCCAACACTGCCACTTGTGGTTGCTTAACTAACACTTATTTAAAAATACCTCACCTCTTCTACTTTTATTAGAACTTCTCTTCTTAACTTTATTTTTAATTGACTGTACAAACATCCACCTAGTCATCTATCAGCATTTGACAGTGTATCTCTATTCATCCCTCATATTTTCCCATATACTTGCTAGTCATGTCTACACAAATTTGTTTTCAATATTGCAACATTTGTCCCTGGTTTGCCATAGAGCTTTAACTTTTCATGGAGGAAAGAGACACCTGCTTATATTTCAGTGAACCTGCAGTGGTATGCTGCTTCATGTGTAGTTATGTCACTATGTGCTCTTCTCTTGAAACCCTTCACAAAATATTTTTTAAAAAGCATTCCGTTCTGAACCTTCCTTTCTGCAGCCTCTCTCTCTCTCTCTCTCTCTCTCTCTCTCTCTCTCTCTGTGGTGTGTATTAAGTTTGAACTTTTTTCAACGAAAGGCATTGAACTTCTTTTTTTTAAAGCCAATTATCTACGAGAGCTCTGGAGTTATTTTTTTCTTGGTTGCTTTTGTTCTTAATAAGTCTAATGGAAAGCTTTTGACTAGAAAACTCTGATCTGAACCTTAACAGTGAGAAGTGCCATAGCACTAAATTCAGCTCCTGCAATAAACTAAGAGTGCATCTAAATGGAGAGA